TGATACTACGACTACTACCACTACTACTACTACTACCACCACCACCACCACCACCTCCACGACGACTACTACTACTACTCCTCCTGCTGCTGCTGCTGCGACTGCTGCTGCGACTGCAACTTCTACTGCAACTTCTACCACGACTACGACTACGACTACGACAACGACTACCACTACCACTACCACTTCCACTACCACTGCCACCACCATTATCACCACCACCACCACCACTACCACCACCACTACGGCCACGGCCACGGCCACGGCCACGGCCACGGCCACGGCCACGGCCACGGCCACTGCAACTGCCACTACGACTCCTACTGCTACTCCTACTCCTACCCCTACCCCTACTCCTATTCCTACTGCTACTCCTACTCCTACTCCTACTCCTACTCCTACTCCTACTCCTACTCCTACTACTACTACTACTACTACTACTACTACTACGACCACCACCTCTACTGCTACTACTCCCACTGCTACTGCGACTGCTGCTGCTGCTACTGCTACCTCCACAGGTACGCCTGCTGCTGCTGCTGTGCTGCTCCTACTACTACTACTACTACTACTACTACTACTACCACTACCACTACCACCACGACGACGACTACTACTACAACAACTACCACTACGACTTCACTCCTATAACACGTAATGCTATCACCATTACTACTCCTGCTACTGTACCACTGGTGCTACGACTTGAAAATCGAGTAACACATGTCCCAAGCTCTTAAACCTATTGCTAAAGCACGCGACACTGGCAATTATTGCTGAGAGAAAACTGAAAGAGACGGACACCCTGAATGCGCTGAGGGTAAAACGCTTGGGAGTCACGCAGCGGGGAGTTTCGAACATCCGCAACTGGCCTGGAAGATGATGGCTGGCGTCTGTGCAGGCTGAGGGTACCAGGGTTCTGTTAATTGCTGCGTCTGGCACCATACAGCCCGAGCAAAACCCACAATAACTGCCTTTTTGGTTGCAGGTTCGGGCGAACGGTTTGCAAGGGCTTAGGCTTAAGCTTCGAGACTTCAAAGCTTTAGTGTTGAGGGCTGTTGAGGGGTCCGAAAGTCAACGTAAGCTTGAGTCGCAACTAGCTTCTCGCGGAGTGTTTACGCACTGGCCTGTATCAAGCTCGAAAACCACGGGCCCCAAGCGTTCTGAGACCCATTTAATTAACCCCAGCCGCGACACTCGAACCGTGAGCTCAAGAAACTTAACCCAACGCCATGCAGATTTAGATATGTATTTCTACAAATCAATACGAGTTTTAAGGCATAGTCATAGCTATCCAAGTGTACATTCAAGTGGCAACTCCACTGTAATCCCCAAACCTTGTCCTATTTTTTTGAGACTCCTATATAGCTGACCCGCAGTCGTGTCAAAGGTTGTAAACTCCGCAGACCAATCCCGCGATGATGCGTCGACGATTGAGGGTCAAGGGCTGGTATGCGCGATCGCACTGAAACAGATCACTAGAAAGAAGCTGTCGTGAGTCGGGGAAGAATGCACAACACGGCAGTACCCGAAGGGCCATGTGAACACCAAGTCAGACATGAGAACGGCAGACACGAACTTCCAAAAAAAAAACCAAAGCTGTCTAACCCAGTCCAACCCAAGTTAGACCGAAGAGCTCCCCAGTCCAACCCGCGTCTGAATCCTTGGGCTTCCTGAGGCACCAGCCGACATGTGGAGCCAGCGCCCGGCAGTCAAGGCCCAGCTTCCGGGGGAGATCTTCCAGTCTAGGGTTGTAGAGGGTGAGGGGTTCGGGGAGCGGGCTTGAGCAGCTCAAGGCCTTGTGCAATGCCTCATACAGGTGAGATCGGCCAGTAGAGGAACAGCATCGATCATGAGATGATGAGATTTTTGATGGGCATCGGCACCAGGCTTTGGGTTCTAGGGATGGGGCCATGCGAAACGACCTGAGAGCCCCAGCATCGCGGTTTTTGGGGGTGCGAGTTCGAAGTCCACGGAGGGCTTTCCAGGGTCTCTCAACGTCACTAAATGTCGAAGCACAGGATAAACACGTGCCTGTCGATTCTCTCCCTTTCATGTGGGTGCGGCTTGATCAAAGGATGGCTGTTGCGGCTTGTTCATAGCTGACACCACCGAATGGCAAAATGCCATAACACCATGTCCCACGCACGCCGCATTCAAGGCTGTTTTGCAGCTGGCTCAAAGCAATGCTCCACCAAAGACGCTCAGCGGCGGGATGTTCCAGGAAACGTCCTGGCCGATTTTTGATTTTTAGGGTTGACGGCCTGACCAGTCTTCTTCGAGCTTGGCCCCATCCGGAACCTTCAACCCTACAGTAATCCTTGGTTGTGACTAAGCCGCTAGCCTAAAGCCCAAGTCTTGAATCCCCACCACTGGCCACGGACACACATGGCTGTGCGAAGCAAATGAGCTGCATGTAAGACTTCATGAATCAATGAATGCATGCGCTGGCACAACGCAAGAAGTGAATTTGATTCCTGGCCTATAGCAAACGCCACCGGTAATGCGTAAAGCTGCTATGTAGTCTGAAAAGGGGCATTTAGCCGAACCCATGCACTTGTTGGCAGGATTCTCTAATCACCAATGCTGGCCGCGTTGTGGCACCAGGTGCGGAATGTGAATCACCGGACAATGATTGGGGGTGCAATGGCCGCAGTTGTCACTTCTGCATCCATATCGATTTCTGGGTGCAAACCAACAGATCAGCTTTCCCTTCGTATCCGGTCGAGCAGTCTGAAGACAGTGTTCTGCCTCTTTGTGAAAACAAGCCTCTCTGATGTCATTGTGCTCCAATCGCAGCCATAGTGGTACGGGCCAGTTGTTGCTACCCGGTCGGGCAGAAGGGTAACTCTTGGTGTCCGCCACTGCTTTGATCAGCTCTAGGGCTCCGGCTGTCTTGATCTGATTATGAGAAAGGTGAAGCTCGAAAAGGACCCCAGGTGCGGATCGGATCCACTGCGACAGAAGTCTTGCACTGCTGCAGCCAAGTCTGTTCTGATAGAACTTTGCCACTCCTATGACCACCCTGGCTTGCTTCAATGTCAGGAGCAGGATCCTCATCGCCTCATCATCCAAGTCATTCTGAGAAAGATCTACATCATGAGCCAAGACGATGTCGTCACTGGAGACGTACAGTTTGGGGAACTTCACCTGCTTCAATCGGTGGAGCTCTGTTGGGAACCAGGCGCAGAACTTTTGGATTGCAAGCACATCGAGTCGCCTTCTGGTCAAGCGGATGCTGAGAAGCCCTTCACATGAGACTTGCACGCCGGTTGAGCAGCCTTCTCGAGACCAGCAATCCCAATCTGCGCAGGACGTCGAACTTGCCTGCGGCTTCGCTTCCTCACCACCTTTTCTGCTGTGCGAGTCCGGGTCTTCCAGACGATCGCCAATGGCCAGAAGAGTGCCATCCTCTCGGGAAGTTGCCCTTTCGGAACTGCGCGAGTCACTCGTTCCGCTGCCTGCACTCTCCGCGGATGCTTGCCCGACTTCGTGCGGCTTCGCTTCCTCACCACTTTCGCCGTTATCTCCGTTCTGCGAGTCCTGGTCTTCCAGGCGGTCGCAAAGGGCGAGAACGGATGCTTGGCGGACTTTGTTACGCTTGCAACTCTGCTTCAGCCTCTCACCGGGAGACATGGCGGGCCATTCCATGGCTATGTGATGTTTAAATAACCAACACTCTTAACACGTCTTCTGCCAAGTCTGAAGATTTGATTGCAACTGCTCAGCACACTGAAAATGCTGAGAGGGTGTGACCGTGTGGCCGTCCTGAAGATCACATGGTATCATACCGCATGAGGCTACAAGTGTTGCGCAGCTATAAAGTTCAGCAGCCGCGGCGAATGCGATCGGCACACGATGGCAGACGGCTCACGGCATCTCACGGCGCAGGAGCGGGCAATAAGTCCTCCTTGCGCCAAGGCACCTACAGCAGCCCTGGGCTTCCCTTCTGAGCCTGCAGGGCGTGCAAGGCCTGCTCAGCTTCCGAGTCTGTTGCAACCCTGAGCGTCACACACCTCTACTTAATGGCAACTTGTCACCAGGATGGAAGCGTAGTGTTACGTGCGATGCAAGCGAGGATCTCTAGGTCTGTCCCTCTGATGAGAAAGACCCTTCTCTCCTGACTCTGATGTCAACTTGCGCATGCCCAGTCATGGCCCATCAGGCCCATCACTCTGTGATTGTGACAAGCTGGCATGTCGATGCTGGGGAGATTGCAAGGGGTACACTTAACTTGCTTTGTGCTCACATCTGGGAGGACGCCTTTGGCATCTCCCATGGTGGTCGGAGATGGAACTGGAAGCTACAACAACACTGAAGATCACTGAAACACCAAGCAGCACCGCGATGGCACCTGGTATGCTGGGTGCAGCCGCCGGCACCTTCACCTTTGGGGCTGTCTGTGGGGCTGCAGATGACCAGCGAGAATCCAAGACTAAGTCGGGATCTCTGTGAGCCGCTGCGTGCGCCTCCAAATGCTCTGATTTTGGTGCCTCCATTGCCACGTCTTCGTCGAAAAGGCCTGTTCAACAAGTGTGTGGACTGGA